TGACCCTCATCTTGGTTTGGCTTGAAATGGCACACAGAAACACAAACACATGCAGACATCAACACAGAAAAAACAAGCTTAAAAAGACTTCTCACTCTCCCTGTTAAGTTTTCATGCCTTACTGTTTTTAATTGCATATAAATATATTCAGTGCATGAATAATGCAGGGGAATATGCTATAAATTCTCTCTAGCACCCTGTCTCATGTATGATACATGTTAGGGCTTTATGCACACACCAACATGTTTTTACAAGTACACCCACACACACATATGTGTGTAAACTCAGACAACATGAAATGAGGAATTTTGTGTTAGAAGATGATTTCTAAACCCTACAAACACTGTCAAATCTATAGTTTGCCGACAGCAGAGGAGCACCCACTGATGTGTGTGAGTCTGTCTTTTTGTATAGTTGTGCGTGACTTGAATTGTAAAATGTATATGCTGGTAGTCTTTGTTCAGAATTTTGGAAGGTGTTTCTTTGATTGTTTTTCTATCGGCCTCACTGTGTCTATAGTAAACACAAGATTATGATATGTTGTTGTTACAGGCTGTTTTTGCTGTTTATCTTTGCCAAGTGTCATTAAAACAAAACCAGACATGAAAGATGTGTGGTATGTGTGGTGTGCTGTAAAGATGTGTGTATAGATGCTAATAAATCTTTCTTTCTTCTCAGGAAGAACCTAAAGGATTATTGTGCAATGACAACACACCATTGAATGGATTGACAAAAACAAGATTGGTTGTGTGTGTGTATGTGTGTGTGTGTATGTGCGTGTGCGTGTGTGGTCTGACCTATAAGTGCTGATCTAATCATGTGGTAATGGGTAACCATGAGTCAGACTAGCAATCCTGTCACAAGATGGCATATAATTTGTGATTTTAGTTATAAACTGTTTTATTTTTATTCACCTTATTATGATGTGGGTGGAAAAAAATATGTCCCAATTAAAAACAAATTATTTTGATGAATTGTGTCATTCTGAGCCACGGTGCTAGCCATCTCTTTGTGTACCTTAAGCATTGAAGATAAATACCAAGGTTCATTTTCATTTACACTATTATGATCTGACACTCGTTACCTGTAACATCTTCTGAAACCAAAATTCAGCCTCAAAAGTCAGAGGTTGATGTTTCAGTATAAAACCTAAATCTATTATTCACTATCATTTTCTGTTTTAGTTGTGTCTTCATTGATACATATTATAGCTCAGACTACATAGGAATTTATATAAATTCTTCACTATACTATAAACTTTAACATTGAGATGTCTAAATATAATGTTTTGTAAGTGTCTCTGTGCTAGAAAAGATACTTTATATTCATGCATTGTGAAAATATGTGTCATTTTACCGGGCAAAAAGTGACTTAATCAGCATGAGCATGCATGTATAGGCTACATGGTGCAGCACGTAAAATATAGAGTGTCAGAATTTAACAAGCTTCCCTTCTACAAAGAATAAAGAAGTATTATAATGTCATACCACTAACCATTCTTCCGCCTTTTCTCATTCAGTTTCACTTCTATGTCTTATGCAATTATAATGTTCATCCTGTCTCTGTTACACTATCTTTGTGTCAAGCGTTGCCTCATAAATACCTGATCTGACTTTGGATAATGATGCCCTTAGACACAATTTGAGTGCAGTAGATTTTTTTTGTCTGTTGTGTGCAGATGAATGTGCAGATATTACTGTATTTAGGCTTAGTGGAGGAAGTTAAATACATACTGATTGTTGTACAATTCAAAGCTGTGTTAATCACATATATGCACACCATAAGAGGCCAGTATTGTCAAGTAAAAAAAGTAATGGCACCGTGATCTTTGCAAAGCAAGGGAAATTTGAGTGTGTTATATTGTATGTTCAACACATTACATTAATAATGAGCCTGAGGGCTATTTGTACAACACATTAAAGTCATTTTTCATAGATTAACTGCTTCCATTTCATGATGGAGTTAAACTGCAACAGAGACACCATAAGAGTTTTACATCAGAGTATCCCCATGGTTTCATTTCCATTTCAAAACCAATATCACAGATGAATGATTTATTAGATGTTCAAGGATGGTTGTAATCTCAAATCAAACTTTTGCCCCATTAGTTGTTATGTAATTTTGCTTGACGTTATAAGTATTCATTAAATATTAATTGAAGCAGACTAGGTGCTAAAAATATCAGGCTCTAACAGCTTTCTTTTCTTATTTTAAAACAGGAATAAATCTGACCGTATCACGCTGCATTTCACAATGAACAAGTCACTTTTCATTGAATTCTACAATGAAAAAAATGAATAAGCAGGTGAAAAAAATACGTATATGTGACACTTTTCTAGAATAAATACCTCAAAGTACATCACAAAGACGAACATGAAAAAGATACAAGTCCTCCATTGTGATAAGAAAAGTATTTGATGGAAATAAAATCCAAGAATCAGACAAGAAAAAGAGCACACAAACAAAACAAAGGTTCAAAATTAATTTCTTAAAGTGCAGTAACACAGTGGACTTTATGTATGCTTCTAATAACTACATGTGTGTTATAATTCATGTAAAAAAACATTTTATTTTCAAATAAAGTTGGAGGGGTCGTGCACAAGAATGATTTAGCACCAGAACTGAGCATTTTCTCTTGGAACAGGAAATGGACTGAAAGATTTCAATATCAGATTAGTGGAAAGCTTAGCCACACCCAATCAACTTCCATATCAAATCAGTCTATAGTGTACTCCAAAGCCCAAATGATATCTTCTTCTGAGGTGGAAGTTTCTGCATCAGCAAATGTGCTAAAAAATAAAATGGCTTGACCGTGACAGAAGTTGTCTCTGAAGATGCATGGAGAAAAAAGGACATTAATAGGGTTATGCTGACCTTAGTTGAGGTAAGCCAAGGTGTATCTGCAACTCTGCATGAATCCTCATGCTCAATGTTGACCTAAAGATACTTCAAATTTGCGAACACAGGTGATTTTATTGTCCTTTATAAGATTTACTTTCGGATTTATAAAAGCATGAAGGAGTGGAAACAGTTTGTTCAATATTTTAGAGATGACAAAACAAAAACATTTTATAACTTATTTAGGAGGTAAAGATTTTTTGTTGATTTCTCTTCTCTTCATCATCTCCTTATAATGTAATTTGATATAAGGTCCCAATTGAGTCTATCCTCCATTAGCAATATAACTGGACGTGTTTTGACAGTGTTAGCCTTTCGTATTTTCCAACAGAGTTTTTTATATTTATTCATTTCCTCTCTTCTAGTCTGTCAAAATCTTTACAGAGCGGCACTCTCACCTTTTGCACACATGAACTAACTTTTTGCACAAAGTAGGTCACTTTGATGTGTGGCATGATCCCAAATGGTACATTTGTGCGCCTGTGTGTTTGTCAGTGTTTATCCACCCTTGTGGATTGTATTTTCACACCGTCATGTTGCACTTTGTGCCCTGATGGCCCCAGAGAGAGTCCAGTCATTAGACAGGCTGTATGTCATTTACCTCAGACTCAGATGTAATGTTTAAGCCTGAGGTGAGTGCCTTCACGTTTACATTGGTGGAAGCACAAGGCTAAGACTGCCAAACATAATCTCAACCCATAATCATGCACACAAGAAATCTCAATAAATGCATTTTTATGAATAATGCATAACGGACATAATTTCAAAACTATTCTAATGATAAAATTATAAATAGCTCAATTCACAAGATATATTGCTTTCTCTTGACCTCCACGGGGAGAAGTGAACACCCATGAACCATCACAACAAACTGAGAAGTCCTTCATCCTGAATATCCTTGAACACCAGAGAGAGGGATGAAAAATATTATTTACACACACCAGGGTGACACTTGCTTAACTCCCATGGGAGAAGAGTTAAAGTAGGGGTTCTATCTTGCTAGTTGCATTCAGTGGTGTTTGATTGTCTGTAACCTATGACGAACCTAAAGATTGGGCTTTTTATGGCAAACCAAAAACCAAGTTATAATTTACCTCTGTGGCACACCAGCCTCCATTTCAATGAGTTTGATTTATTTTCTCCTTTAATTTTATTGCTGTCATCTGTGGGTTCTTTGTTCTTTTGGTTCAGGATTGTTTCTCCACTCTGACAATTGTATGACTCACTTGGCTAAATAGAAACAGACATATAGCCTGAGCAATAACAGTAAACTGACCTCAGTTTTTAGACAGCATCCCGAATCCCATGATGACAATATCCAAGTTAATGCTTCCAGTTTCCTTTTAGCTGTTATTTCATTTAGCAGTAAAGGTTTTAAAATAGAAGATACAAGAAATGAACCAAACATAATGCACTTTATCTGACTTGTACAGACAGGCATGTGGTTGAACTCCCAAATGGAATGAATCATTAAGTAGTTCTCCATTTGAACACAAACCAATATCTGTAGCCTATTTTTTGGCAGAAATCCATCAAATCTTCCTTTTTTCTCTCTAATTTGTATGCAGTCAAGGCTTAAAGCCACTTGGCAAGGGAGGTAGCAGGGCGAAAGGTTCTTTGTAGTGATAGGACCAAGAAAAAGTCCTGAAACAAAATCGAAATGAAAACCTAACCTGATGCATTGGACCGGCTCCACACGGTAGTACGTTTGGCTCAGCCCCAAAATGACTGCCGTCAAAGGAAACGGTGATGACGACAGCACGTACATCAGCTGCTGGATACAAGAGAAGCTCTGGGTACACTGTTTGAACGGGGGAGCTAAAGTGCCTCCCAACACGTTCCGGCAAGGTCCATATCCAGGGGGGGGGGAACTCAGAGGTCTAGTTCTGCATCTAGTTTCCTCAGACTGATCACTGATGGATGTGTGCTTTCCAGCTGCTCCCCCGTTGTCGCCAGTACTTCTTGTTGGATAAGAGAAAAACGCGGCGCTTTTTGTGCCATTCCCCAATTATTTGCAACGCGGAGAACTTTGCAAGCAAATGAACCAAAATTTAACCAGTTAAAAGTGCCGAAAGAGGCGAGGAATCTGATCTGATCTGAAGATGTCCACGACGCACCACGCCTCCCCGGCGCCTAACCAGAGCCACCTCTCCACAGTCAGCTATGGCACAACTGATTCCTCCGGGATGGAGAGGCAGATTCGCACGCTGCTGTTCGGTTTGTGCGTAACCATCGCCGCCGTTACTTTTATAGGGGGGTTGTATTCCCTGCTGTCTCTTCTTCGGATGAGAAGAAAAACCTCTCTTTGCGTAATTGTCGCTTCCATGTCTGTGGACGACCTACTCAGTGTGGTCCCCCTCTCCTTGTTCATGCTCCTTCAGTGGGAGATAGGAGGAGGTGAGGTGTCGGGCAGCCTGTGCACTTTATCCGGACTTCTCTACGTGTTCCAGGGGGTCTCCAGTAACATGAAGGCTTGCCTCATCGCGGCGTACACTTTTTATGTCACCAAGAGGTTCGGAGTGCTCCAGTCCGTCCGCCGGCCCCTCACGGTGATGTGGGCTGTTGCCGGCGTGTGGGCGGTCAGCCTGACGGTCAGCGTGCTGCCCGTGTGCGGATGGGGCAGCTTTACGCCCTTCTCTCTCGGGTGCTTCCCAGAGAGCGACAATTTCTACATCGTGCTGCTCATCTCTTTGTATCTCCTGTGTTTTTGTGGCTTGCTGTGCTTCTTTACGCCCCTCACGTACCAATTGCTGTGCTCCAGAGAGCCCCAGAGGACTTTACTGTACCCGAGCTTCTTGGATGTTTCCAGGGGACTGAGTGGCTCCGCTGCTCTGTGCGATCTCCAGTCCCTGTCCCGGAACAGCCCGGATCAAAGTTTCGGGGCGTACAACGAGCTGAGCCCTAGTTCGTGCGGGACAGAGGCCAGGGAAAAAGAGAACAACGTGCTGTCCTCAGTGTCTGGCGGAGGGCACAGGGCTAAGGCTGTCGGAGATACTCCAGTGGTGTTTGCGCAAAAGCGCTTCTCCATGATTCTAGCAGTTGTCAGGGTTATATTGTGGATGCCAATGATGGTAAGCACCGAGACTAGGTGACCAAATAAATGAAATAGGATAAAAGAATAAAAAATAAGTTATGTTATTGTTTTGGGGAAAATTCATCTGCTCAAGTGGCCCCTTATGTTGTACAGATTTATGTTGAAAATTAATTACACACCAAACAGGGTTAACCAACTCATTTGGAGACGATCGTTTCACATCTAGTTAAGATGAAAAAATGTGTAAAAAGTTAAATCACTTAAAACTCCTCCTTCCTTCCAATAGGGCTGTTTGTTTTTATGTCTTATATTAATCAAATTCTGTTGGTGGACAGATGCAGAACTCTGGTTCTATCAGCCCCTTTTGCACTAAAGGATTATGAAGAGACTGCTATTTCCATTTGGGATCAAATGCAAAAGACTTTCACAGTGTAATAAAAATGAACTGAGCTTTTAATGTAGAGTAAATTTTGAGAATACTGCATCAATCAAACCAGAAATTCTGCACACCTCTCCCAACAGATTTAAGGATTTTAAAGGATGGCCAAATAGTTAAGTGGGATCTCTTCCAATCTGCTGTGGTGAACACTCTTTTAATTGTTAAATATCAATTTATTAAAGCATTGTTTGAAAAATATTTGCATATGTTTAAAATGTTTAAAATAATTTATACCC